ATGTGAGATGTCAAATGAAAGTTTATGTTCTACTGATTCTAGGTATGATATTCATGTACTTGTGAGATGTTTGTATGTGGAGTTATGAATATAGACTCTGTGCTGATATTGTGAATGGACTGCCTGTCATGAGGAAGGAATGTCCAATAAATGACTATGCTAATTAGCATGGCCCCAAGGACAATGGCTCTCAGAGGCCAATACACACCAGAGGAATGTGTCTGGAAACCTACAAATCAGCCAGGGCATAATGGTGGCTGGCATGTGTAACAGAGACAGGTTGCTTGACCATATGATCCACTCCAGCTTGGGACATACCAGGAATGTATATAAAATGCCATGAGGCACTGATCCCAGATGCAGCCTTGCTAGGGACAGAGCACCGAGAAGGATTGCTGACCCATCCTGACATAGGATGCATACTAGAGACTTCTAAGCTAGCAGTTTGTAACATCTCTGCTAAGAACCTGCATCAGGAACTTGGTGATTGGTGCATGTAGTGCATTCTCCTTAACAACCTTACTTTCAACCTTTTCTTTTGTTAATAAACCTTTAGATTTTAGAGTCTAAAGGATTGGCCCAGCATGACCTCATGGGTAAGATCTAAAGTATAAACAGACTGAGGAATCTGTTTGTGGTAGGTGAGATTGGGTTCTACAACCCCTCACCTGTGTGTAGGCCTGGGGGCTGATTGTGGCACAGGGAGAGCTGGGGTGTCTGAAGCTCGTGAGGCTTCCTGCTGGCCGGACTGGCAGCTGAAGTGCTCTGTGTGACTGGTTTGTGGCCTATTTGGAAAAGGTCAAGGGCTGTACAGAGCCCTAGTTTTGAGCAATTCACCCTGAGCGGACGCCCTCAGCAGTGCCCAGACCCGGCCTGGTCTGTCACAGCGTAGCTCAAATTGCATAGCTTATTTCAAGCTACAGGGGCCGTGTAGACACACCCTAAGAAACTAGTTACAGGGATTATTTCACCTTCAGTTCTGATAAGGTTCTTTCCCAGGCTGGACGGTCTCCCTTGATCCTTCCCTCTGTTCAGTCTTAGATGTTTCCAGCAATTATCTTGGGTGGTAAGCAAAGGTGTCCTAATGTCTGTCAGCTGACAAAGCTCTAGGGCCGTGGTCCCCAACACGGTGCCCGCGGGTGCCATGGCGCCCGCGGGGGCATTTCCATGTGCCCGCCAGGTGCTCGGGGCTGGCCTGGCTCCGGGCGCATGGCGGGGGGGAGCGCCGGCCCCGGGCGCGCGGCGCCTGGGCGCGCGGTGCTTGGAGGGGGGAGCGTCGCCCCCGGGCATGCGGCTATGGGGGACCCGCCCCCGGGACGCAAGTGTCCCCGCCCACTGGTGCCCAGCGGGCGAACGGCCACACCCCCTGGCGCCCGACAACCTCGAAAGGTTGGGGACCACTGCTCTAGGGGCTTCCCTCTTCAATAAGTTGTGCAGAAGGTGGGAAGGTGTTGTGTGTTGGCAAGCCTCCCCGCTTTCTCCATGTGGAAACATACTAAATTGATGATAGATCTTCCATATCAGATGACTTCAACATAAGTTTTTGTGGAGACTTTCAGCTCTTCCTACTGGTCCATAGGAAAAACAAACCCATTTACAGATCATTGACCTTATCTATGAGATATCAAGTTTCTGAAATACCATGAATGGCCTTTCCTTAGCATGTTTATAGTAGTAGACATCATAGTAGTAAAATAGTTTTATACTTCATATTTCTAACTTCAAATACAGGGAAGGATACAAGCATGTAAATGGGGAAATCAGAATCAGTATATTACAACTTTTCAAATGATACCTTATATGAAGTATTTTGCATAAAGCACTTTCCAGTTGTGAATATTTATATTCATAAGCATATTTCCATAAAGCATATGGATCACAATGTGATACTATGATCTTAGCAGCCTTTTCTTGCTGCTCATAAAACAAAATTAAGTGAGGGTGCTAAGGATGAGAAACAGCACTTCTGTAGGAATTCTGAACAGTGGAGCAAGCAGCAGCAGAAGAATTTAACTTCTTCCCTGTTCCTTATGCTTCTACAATGCAATAAACTCCTCAAGTAATTCAGATTAGAATCTGATCTAAGGAACATGGGTGTAAAGTTGGAGTAGCTCCATAGATTTAATGAAATTGTGCCATCTCTGCTCTTACCTACTTCAGTCAAAATGTGTCTTGTTTGTTAAGCACTGTAAACATTTCTGGAACCATATAATGAATTACATTACATACACACACATACATACAAAATGGCATTAGAAGAATGTTGTAAAGTTAAGCACTCAAAAGTTAGAAAAATGACAGATTTAAGGAATCCTGTGCAACTCTAATTTGAACCTCTTGTATGTTTGGGTTATGATACAGTTTTTAAAATCTTGATTAATTTTTTTTCTACATAGTCTTGGCTTGTCTCAGTGAATGAGTAATTATTAAATATTTCTTTTTATCCTCTTAGTTCAGCGTGTGGCTTCAAACCTTTTTTACTGCATACCATTCTAACTGTACACCAAATAAAAAATTATTAAAATCCTGGGCACATCTATGGTTGTTTTCAGAATAGTATCTCATTGCTTCATAAATATTAATTAGTTTGTCTTCACAACATTCCTGTGAGATTAGCACAACATTCCAGTGCTTATTTTTCCCATTTTACAGCTGGGAATAGAGACACGGAGAAAGTAAGACCTGACTTATCATGCCACTTGAGGCATTTAGGGTCTGATTAAGTAGTATGCATATTTATAGCACTGTACATGTTTAAATCCCAGCTTCTGTTGTCTTTAATTACAATTGTGAGTGCACTTATGCAAAATTGTCTGCTGACTCATTGGACACTGAGAAAACAAGGAACACGCTTTATATGACTAACTAAACACTTTCAGTGAGTTGCTAAACATCACATAGAGGCAGAGAGAGAATTTATTTCTCCAGTATGGTGCTCAAATATCTTAACCTTTGTTAATGAGGCAGTGGATAGCAATAAGAGAAAGATGTAGTTATTTTTTTCTTACTGATATTATCATAAGTCACTCCACACACTAAATGATTAATAGTAAATACACTGTAAATATATTTAATCACAACTGCATTAAAACTCTCTTCCTAAAAGCATCCCGTTCCTCATTCACTCACCATATTCCAGCTTCCCCAACTAAGGAGATATGACAATGCAGCCTGGATTCATTCTGAGAGCACTGTCCATTTGTATACTGAATGATAAGGGGTGTCATGATCATGAGGGTTGGCCAGCAGCCTGAGGACTAAGGGGTTAACCATACCTAACTCAGGTAGAGTTAGCCAATAGGAATGTACTATTTTCTGAAAGATCCCTTATCCCTTGATTTTAAGAGGGATAAGGGATCTTTCGGAAAAGGCTTTATTTTCCAAAAGATCCATGTCTAGACTGGCGCTTTTTTCCGGCAAAGGTCCGAGCCGGAAAAAAGCGGCAGCCATTTTTATGCTAATGAAGCGGGGGAGATTTAAATCCCTACTTCATTTGCAATTGCGATATGTCTAATTTGCATCCCTTTTACGGAAAAAAGATGCAGTCTAGACACAGCCAACAGGTTTTATTGTTTTATGGTTTGGGTATGGGATCTGCTGTCTGTGCACTTTTTAAAACACGTTTTGGCTTTCCTTTGTAACTGAGTTCTAGGCCCATAGAGTTTATCCATGAGTATATTATTTTGTTATTTTTCCATCTAATCTTCATACTTGCAACAGGAATAGAGTGGTGATAATAAAAGTTTTCTCTTCTCTTTTTATTAACCTGGTATTGGTTAATGGTTGTGTCCTGTTTTGTACTTTAGGGGTGAGATTTCCCAAGTAGTCTCACCCCTGATTTTCTTTATTAATATTTGGGTGGTGGCAGCGGATATTTTATTCCCAAAATCTATGTTGTTAAGATCTTAGGGGGAAGTTTTATACCAAAGCCTGATAGATAAGGTTTTGGGGTACTTTTGCTGGCCCGCACTCCTTCATTTATTGTGCCAGAGTGGGGAAGGAGCCATGACATTTTTTTCCTGCAGAAAAAAATCTGATCATGTAAGTGCAAGAAGTCCAAATGAAAGTCACAAGGTCTAATTATTATAGATTGATAATATAATGAAAGGCAGCAGAGGGTCCTCACTGTTTGACCCATATATTGACATACATGTAATCTGATTATAGAAAGCAAATTCAAATTAGTAGCAAACTCAACAAGAAGTTTCCATTATTACAAAGAAATACAGAACAAATAAAAGCTAATATTGTGATTTTTTTTAATGTGTATGCATGTGGAAATTTGGCCTGGCCTTGAGGCTCCAATCAAGTTGCCCATGTGCTTCTGCAATAATTCATAAAGTCACAGTCTGAAAAGTCAGTCCCTGCAGGGTTTGGTTTAATTCAATTCAGAGAAAATTGCTGCAGCAGAACAAAGTGTTCATGGTGCAGAAACGTAAAGTGGGGAACTTGTTCTCACTCTTCCTTCTTTTTTAGAGGATCACAGTTCTCTCATCCAGATCTTCAGTACTTACTATAACTAGTATACAGGAGCACAGTGATTGCCATAAAGAATCAGACAAGTCTGTGTAGTCTGATTTCTTGAATTGCTGTGCATGATACAGCAGATAAAAGCAAACATTCTTCTTCGGGGATGTCCCCACGGGTGCTCCAGTATGGGTGCTGGGCTTGCCCTGGCGCCGCAGACGGAGACTTGTCATTAGCAGTGTCCGGACGGACCACGCATGTGCCGCATTCTCGCGGCTTTCGCGCTCTTTCTGTCGCGTGGTCCAGCCCCTCCGCCAGTTCCTCTTCACCGCCTCAGGCTGCAGACGCTTGTAGCCGCGCTCCTCACTCCCCAAGAACTAGACTGCTTCTAGTTCTCCCTTTGTGGAAAACTTTTTTTCCCCCTTTTCTTCCCTCTCCCCTCTCTTTTCCCATAAATTAAAAAAAAAAAGAGTTTCTTTCAAGAGAGGAAGGGCAAAGAGAACTATCCGGAGGAAAGCACAGACCGCTCTTACCTCCCGCCTCTCAGCTGTTCTCCTGTCAGCTTCTCCTTATAGCTCCATTCACCTAAAAAAAAAAAAAAAAAGAGAGACAGACTGTTAAGATAAAAAGAACAAAAGATACCTGGGCAGAGCCATTACCAGGCTATCAGCCCTTAACAACCACCTACTGTTCAAGAAAACAAAAGATAAAAATCAGGGGGCTGCCTGTAAACTTCAGGGACCAGCTTTAAACAATGCGGCTCCTGCTGTGAGGCAATGCCAGCCTGGGACGGCCATGCTGAGTGTATTCGTTGCCTGGGGGAGTCTCACATCCCCCAAAAGTGTCACCATTGCTCTAGGCTCACCTCCAGAGCCAGGAAAGACAGGGAGAGGAGCCTTCCTATGCTCCTCTTTGATACAGCCCTACAGCCGCTGCGAGCTGACTTGAATCAGCAGCCTCCTAAGCTCTGGGCTTCCTCCCCTACTGCGGGACTTCAGAGGAAAATGACCCTCTCCTCAGCAAGATCCCTGCCAGCTGCCTTTAATGGCAGGGACAGCCAGGCAGAGACACCTGGGACCACTGGCATTCCAAAGCCATGTCCCCCTGCCTCAGCGGCTTCTAAGCCTAAGCGGCCACGGGAGTCTGCAAAGACACCGGCTCCCCAGCCGGCATCAGCACAGCCGCTTCTTCCTCCTCTGGCACCGAGCGTTGAGCCGGTGCCGACAGCA